TGATAGATTTTGACTATCCCATGACAGAACAAATTTAGAAAAGAGAAAGAAAAGAACATCTTGGGAAATTACCATTTTTTCTGCACAAATCATACTATAATATAATTTATATCATCAAAGCCCGGCTAGCTCAGTCGGTAGAGCGCAAGACTCTTAATCTTGTGGTCGGGGGTTCGAGCCCCCCGTTGGGCGAATTTTTTTTTTCTTAGATACCCCTGGGACAACCCACTTCTATCTTCCCGGTGTTTTTTTTTTTTTTTCTTTAAGATAAAGAAGGGTCGGAATTGACCCTTTTTACCTCCAGATATGTAATGAACAATTATCGTTACCTAATAATAATTAATAATAATCAAACAATAATTTGTAATAATCAACAATTATTTTAATTTATCAAAAAAAAAAATAATAAAATAATAAAAACTTTTCAGTTTTCGAATTTTAATAAAAACATAAACATTTCATATAAATTTTATTTTATTTAATTATTTGAAATGTAGATTTTTTTTTAAAAGTGAAGATTTTTTATAGGTAATGTAGATGGAGCTACTTTAGTTATGGATAAATAATAAATATAAATAATTCTAATAATCAAATAATTATACAATTATTTGTTTGTAAAAACATATTTGATCTTAGTACCTTACAGATATCAAATTAATTGTTTTATTAATTTTTTTATAAATCTTTTTTTATATTTTTTATTTATTTTAAAAATATAAATACAATTTTCATGAATGCAATATTCTTGAATAATACCCCTTTATTATCTACATATTTTGATATTTTTAATTAATTAATTATTAAATAACACAAATTTTTTTTTTAAAATTTAAGTTTAATTAACAATACATAATTTTAAACTTAATTTTTAAAAAAAAAATTTGTGTTAAAAAACCCCCATTTATTTTTAAGTTATTTAAATTTAATTTAAATTTAAAAAACTTAAAAATTATAATTTTGAATAATATATAAATAATTATAAATAAAACCAAATCATTTTATTTATTTTTATAATTTCAAAATATTTAATTTAATAAAAACCTATAAGAAATGCTTGATTGGTTGCAAAAACTCGCAAATGAAACATTTGGAAACTTTAATTCCCTATCAAAAGAACTGGAAAAAAATTCAAAGAAAACAATTGAAAAAACAAATGATTTATTAGAAGAACACAAAATTGTTGCTCAAACCTTAAATTTTTACTTGGACATTATTGGGAAACTAATAGTGGTTTTACTACTTGTAATAATAACACTATTAATTAAAAATATAGGTTATGAATTTATTCAAATGGTTGGAACTATCAAATTTTTTTTGGTTTTCTCAATTTTTTTATATTATAAATACTTTTCAAAATAATAAATTTATTAAAAAAAAAAATAAAAATAAAAAAAAAACATTTTTTTTAGATATTATTTTACAATTAATTTCCCATCTTTTGTTCATTTATTTTTATAACATTAAATAATACTAATATAAATAATGAATTTCTTATTTAAAAACAATGGTAATATGTTTATAAAAGAATCTAAAAACTCTGATAAAGGGGATATATTTACAATAAAAGTTAAAAAACATTTAAATTTATTTAGGGGTAAAAATGAAAATAAAAAAGATTTATATTTATTAATTATAATTGCAAGTATACCTTCAATATAAGTTGATTGCAATATACTAATATTCATTTTATTGAAACAGTAGAATTTTTTAGCATCAACCATACCAACAATTATATTATGACAATTTTTTAATATCTTATTTAATAATAATTATTAAAACAATTTATTGGGGACAACACTATAACAACAATACTAAATATAATAAAACTACTAAATTACTATTAACATTTATAAGATCTATAATACCAACTGTAATTATATCAATCTTCGATCAACATAATCATTATTCTATATTTAAAACCATTTTAATGGCAATAGCAATCTTTATATATTATCGACAAAACAAAAATCCAACCCCATCACCCAAAGATACTCAAAAATATATTTACTGCTTTATCAACCTATATCTATATTGTTTCATACAATCCATACTAATATATCAAGTTCCCAACCAACCATTATATCTATTCGTAATCTTCATAGAATATTTAAAAGATAATAATCTATATCAATACAAAGAAAATATAAACAGTTTAGTTTACAATCTAAATATATTTAAATCAAATAGGATTAATTTTAAAACCTTAAAAGAGAATATCAATTTTAATAATCTAAAACTATTGTAATATCACCATTAAAACTATAACCAGTAATTAAATGATTTCAAATATTAATCTTTTTTTTTTTTTTTTATACCCAGTACCTATAACAAATATCTTTTAATATATTCAGATATTATTTTCCCAATAATTTTTTATAAACTATTAAACTATTATTTTGCCATTTATTTTGGGTTCTTATTTTTAATAATTAAAAATATAGATTTAATTAAATATATAAATAATTTAAATAAAGTAAAAAATTTTTAAAATTTTCGCCAGTGTCAAAACTTTTTTTATTTGCAAAATTGTGTAAATAATATTATTTTTTTCATTTTTATATTATGTATTTAAAAGTTTATTCATATTTCATTCCACAAAAAAAATAAAAATAAAAACGAAAATCCATTAATGAAAAGACATACTCGTTGTTTTTTTAAAAATAAAAAAATTAAAAATAAAAAAATAAAAATAAAAATAAAAAAAAAATAAAAATAAAAAACTTTTGGTATTGTCCTTAAAACACATCACTTTTTGATCAAAAAATTTCAAATAATTTATTTGATTAATCAAAATGAACTGATAAATAGTATTTTTTTTATTATAAATTAAATAATTGGGTATATGTAAATCTTTTAAAAATCGAACCATATAATAGATTATTATTTGATCATCATTATGTATAAATTATTAAACTTATACAAAATTATTACTTTTGTTAATGATATGTCGCCAAATTCAACGAATAGAGAAATAAATGTAGGGACATAAAAAAAAAATTCTTTTTGACAGTTAAATTTGAATGTATATCTTTTTTTAAAAAAATTTCACACAAAGATTTAATGTGATCATCAGAGTTTTTTAAAAAAAATTTTTTAAAAATTTTTTGATTGGTTACTTTTAGCTATATTATCCGAATAATAAAAAAAAACCCCATTTTAAATGTTTTAAATGATAATTGCCCATATTAATTTTTTTTTTTTTTTTTTTTTTTTTTTTTTTTTTTGTAATTATTATAATCAATAAATATCTTAATATTTGCAAATTGTGTTATTTTTGAATTTGGTAGAGACCTTTAAACCAAAAATCCCCCAAAAAAATTTTAAAAAATTATTTAAAAATAATGCAAATTTTTAAAATCAAAAAAAAAATATCTTTTTTTTTTTTTTTTTTTAGCTTTTTCCCATATAAAAAATAATTTTGTTAATGTGGGTTTGTTGTATTGTGATAAAATGAATGAAAAAATATCATAGTCTTACTTTTTTTTTTTTTTTCAAAATCTAATTAAGCTCATATTATTTTCAATTTTTTTTTTTATTTTTTTTTTTATTTTTTATTGGTTTTTACTGAATTTTACCCATTGATTGCTTTCTTTTCTTTTTTTTTTTTTTTCTTCATTTTACTCTTTATTATCCATATTATTCTCATCAACTAAAGACATTTCATATTCATATATAAATATTATTATTTCTATATATAATAATAAACTATAAATTAAAGTTTTTACCATTGATTTTTAAACCTATTTCTATAAATATCTATAATATAATATGATTATATAACATTAAATTAATTAAAAAACCCCTAGTAAATTTGTACATATATTATAAAACTCAATCATATAGACACTCAGGTAAGTTGTTACTTTTTTATTTTTTATTTTTTATTTTTTTTTTGAATTTCAATTTGTATGTTCACATTTATTTGTTTTTTTTTATTATTATTTTTTGTGTGTAAAGCGGAAAATGGAAAATGTAGAAAAGGTAGATCATCTATAGTTATTTATAATAAATATTTGCAGCTTTTTATTTTTCAAACCGATGAAGAGAGAGCTTGGACCAAACAAATTTGTTCGCTTTGATTGAATTATGTGAAACCAATTAATTTTTTTTTTTTAAAAAAAAAAAAAAAAAATTTAAAAATAAATTTTTATTTTTAATT